ATCAAATGGGTTTGGTGGTTATCAAAAATTTTAGAGTTTGGTTTACGGGTCATATAGGTTGGCCTCTAATTTTTTGATTACTTGAAATCCATAAGTGAATAGCTTCTGTGAACTGTTTGTATCTCTCTATCTAGTTTGTGCGTGTATGTGCATGTGTGTTGGTGATTTATATTGTGGTTTTTGACGATTTGATTTTAGGGTTTGGAGGTGAATTTAATAATGACAGATTATTTAATGCCTGGAATGATTGGATATAAATTGCTCAAGAACATCAAGGTTAGTTTTATGTGATATTTGTATTTCACTAAAGGCCCTGTTTGGTTGCCAAGAAAATTGTGACAAGAAAATAAATTATTAAAACATATGTTTTATGTTTTTGATAGTAATAGTAATCAGCTGGGTAGGGCTTTTGGATTTATTTATTTTCCGGCACTATTTTTGCAACCAAACAAGGCATAAGCTGCTGGCAGAAATGAAATTGATGAATACTACTTCTACTACTTGAAATCTCTTAGCGATTTTTGATTTGTTTGCTGAAACCGATTAGATTGGAATTTTTCAGTTACAGCTGTATAGAGAGAACACAAATTTGGGTTTGAAGAAAGATTTCTCTCTCTTCATGTCCTCTCTTTCTCCCTCATTTGCTGCCACTAGAAGTAATACCTACAACAACTATTAGATATCCGCAAGTTTGGCACCGAGTCAGGGTTTCCTAAATTTCCCCAAAATAAAATATTTAGGTGGCGACTCTGTATCTGGCAAAGCAGTCCATGTTTGGCACTTCTTTCAAATTCTGTTTTCTCAAAATGATTTGTCGGATTTGGACTCTTTGGTTCAGATTAAGAACCGTGACAATTTGAGAGTCCTGAACTGTAGTGAGACCAATACGAACGGAACGAGAGCCATCCCTCCCGGGGCATTCGGGGACGTCTACATTAAGATTCTAAAAATTTTTTGTCGGGCTGTATTCTAAGAATTTTTGCAAAGTCTGCTCTCCACTCTTGGCTTGCAAGGTAAGATGCTCGCTCCCCTTCTCTTTATGTTCTCCTTCTCTCGCTGCTCAATTCTCTCTATCAGGCTGTAAACAGGTTATTTTAGGGTTGTTTGCCTATGCCATTTTTTTCATTTTTTTAAAAAAAATTTGTATTCAAACTTTGATTTTCTGTCGGGCTGTATTGATTTTTTGTTGGTTTTAGATTCTAAGAATTTTCTGTCGAGCTGTATTCTAAGAATGTTTTCAAAGTTTAATTTTGGTTCATTATGGTGATCTGCTGGGAAAAGAAATTGATATGCAATTCGTTTTTCCCTGATTAATACTTTGATCTCTATTCAATAAACTTATATTATATGCATTATAAATGAGTTTGTATCTCTCCATCTAAGATTCTAAGAATCTGTTGGGTTAAGATTCTAAGAATTTTATATGCATTATTAATTTTCTGAATCTGTTTGGTTAAGATTCTAAGAATTTTTTGAACTCCTAATCGTTGGGTGTTTGTTTTATTAGGTTGTTTTTTTCAACCATTTCCATGCCTTGTTTTTTTTTTAAAAAAAAAAAAAAAAAATTGTATTCAAAGTTATATTTTTTGTAATGGAAAAGTATTTAATTCTAATGAAACTTAGAATCTGTTGGGTTCAAAACATTCCCTAAATCCAAAAATATATTTTTAGCTCCCAAAACTCTCATCTGTCTCCTTCTGATTGATGCCCTTTTCTTGCTATCTATTTGCAATACATTATGTTTTGTGTTCCATTGAGAAACCTGCGTGTTTTTGTTCGATATTTTCTGAGTTTATATCTTGCTATCAGAGTTTTATTTTTTTAAATGGAAAAGTATTTGTAATGGAAAAGTATTTGATTGCTAATGAAACTTAGAATCTGTTGGATTCAGATTGTAATGGAAACTTAGTATATGTATATGTATATGTATATGTATTTTAATATCAAACGGGTTTGGTGGTTATCAAAAATTTTAGAGTTTGGTTTACGGGTCATATAGGTTGGCCTCTAATTTTTTGATTACTTGAAATCCATAAGTGAATAGCTTCTGTGAACTGTTTGTATCTCTCTATCTGGTTTGTGTGTGTATGTGCGTGTGTGTTGGTGATTTATATTGTGGTTTTTGACGATTTGATTTTAGGGTTTGGAGGTGAATTTAATAATGACAGATTATTTAATGCCTGGAATGATTGGATATAAATTGCTCAAGAACATCAAGGTTAGTTTTATGTGATATTCGTATTTCACTAAAGGCCCTGTTTGGTTGCCAAGAAAATTGTGACAAGAAAATAAATTATTAAAACATATGTTTTATGTTTTTGATAGTAATAGTAATCAGCTGGGTAGGGCTTTTGGATTTATTTATTTTCCGGCACTATTTTTGCAACCAAACAAGGCATAAGCTGCTGGCAGAAATGAAATTGATGAATACTACTTCTACTACTTGAAATCTCTTAGCGATTTTTGATTTGTTTGCTGAAACCGATTAGATTGGAATTTTTCAGTTACAGCTGTATAGAGAGAACACAAATTTGGGTTTGAAGAAAGATTTCTCTCTCTTCATGTCCTCTCTTTCTCCCTCATTTGCTGCCACTAGAAGTAATACCTACAACAACTCTTCATCCGTTCAAATTCCCTTCTTCCAAATCGATGAGAATAGTTTTACATCTCAACATTCATTGATTCAGATCCTTCAAAAATAAAATACCAGTGTATACAATCAAGGGAGAAAAAAAAGAAAGAAAACGATATCGATGTCAATCCAAAAGTGTTCGATGATTTCTTCGATTATTGCATACGTCAATAGATGATGCGTGTTGGTTGTTCTGAGATTTGGTTACCCTGTTTTGTTTTTTTATTCTGATTTGATCAAAATTGTTTATATATAGATATTGATCATTTTAGTAAAAGTTTTTTTTTTTTCACCACATATGTTGAAGTGGTTTTGATTGTCTCTAGATATTGGTTTTGCTTTTGAATCTCTATTTCAAAGGGATATATATGAAAAATGTTATAGGTTTTAAATTTTTACTACATATAAATTTATACGAGTGTGGAGTTCACAAAATTTGGTATCCCTAGCATTATATTTATTCACTATATATATAAATTCACTATTAAATAAATGATTAAATTCACTATATATATAAAAATTAAGTTGGCAATTTTATTTAAAAGCTCCATTTTGATCATTATATCTGGGTGAAATAACCGCACAAGGTAAGTGTGAAAAAAAATTTACAAATTAGTGATAAGTTTATAAATTTTAATAATAATGATTTTATAATTTGTTTTTAAGTTAACATGAATTTTAAATTTCTCTCTGTTCTACTTCGAATGGGTTTCATGTTGAAATGTGTTTTGATTTCAGAAAGGTTTCATTGTGTTTGGATTTTTATTTCTAAGATTTGGGTTTGTGATTTTTAATGTTTATTAACTAGGTTATGACTCCCATTCGAAGCTTAAACTTGAGCAACAATGGAGTTTAAATAGGAAGAGAGAGACGTAGAGGAAAAAGAGAGACAAAGCTCTCTGCTCAAAAAAGAACAAAAGCAAAAAGTAGAAGAAGGAAATAAAAAGTAGCTTTGGTTAAATAATTGCACAGGATTGGTTAAATAATTGTATAGGATTGTTGCACAGGATTGTTTAAATAATTGTTTTTATATTAATAATTTTTTTTTATTAAAAAAATAACAAATAGCTTTGGCTATTCAGATGCTTAACATATATTTGTTGAGAAACCTAACATCATTAAAAAAAAAAAATTAGTTCTATTAAATTTTTAGTAACAAATTACATAAATTATATTTAATTACATTTTGATCTTATTATTATTTATACTGTGTCTTTAGATACGAGGGGGCATACACTAAGGTAAGTTATTATTTTATTTAAGTTCTGTAGATCGTGTGGTACAAGTAAAATTGTTACAAATTCTTTAAGGAGAATAATATTTTTTTTATTTTTTTAATATCTTTATCAAAAAATACTACAGGCTCCATAAATTTAAACATAATATATACACATTACAATTATATTCTAATTCCAATATTATTTAGGGGTTGTTTGGGGTGTCCTAAATAAATGTACTTTTTGACTTTTTATGAAATATGGGTTGGGTATGAGTTGGGTTTGAAGTGATGTGATAGAGAGGTGATGTAACTTAATTAAGATAATGACTTTTTGACTTTTTAGATTTTTTTGAAGATACCAAACTTGGCCTTAGATCGCACCTTCAGACACGGTCATACACTAGTCCTCTAATAAAATACAAACTCTTATTAAACTAACTAACTGTAATCATTAATGTTATGTGTGGTTAGCAAATAATCTTAACTTTGCCCAACAAATTTTCCCTTACTGTCAACTAAAAAATAACATTGACTTGTTTTTGGGAAGTAGGTTATTGGGAAATAGGTTAATACTGATTTTTTTTTATATAATTTTTTTTAAAAAAAATGTGTAAAAAATAAAGAGGGGATGTGATAAAAAAAAGTCAAAAATCTTGTTTTTTACCTACTTGCCAAAAGATATTATTTTGAATATGACAATAAAATTTCATTAATATTTTAAAATTTTCTTAATATAAGGAATTATTTGATAGATCTGAATGATATATTATTTTATTTTATGAAATATAAATTTAATTTCAAAAAAATAGGATAAATTACACTTTGCATTCTTTATGGTTGGACATTTTTTCAGTTTGACATTTGAATTTTTTTTGTTCTTCTCTCATTTTGACCCTTTATTTTTAAAATTTTTCTCAATTTACTTTTAAAATTAACTTTTATTAAAAATTAAACAGAAAATATAATGTTAATTTTCACATAATATAAAAAAAATATTATTATATTAAAATTTGAATATTTCTATTTAATTTTAAACATAAGTTAACTATCGAAATAAATAAAAAAATAAAAACAAACGTGAAGAGTCAAAGTAGAAAATGATCGAACATGAAGGGTCAAAGTGTAATTTAACCAAGAAAATACAAGGAGGACAAAACCCTCGTTGAACCCTCGTCTTCTCATCGGAGGACAAAACAGTGAAACCAGTAACTCCCACAGTCAGAGTCACCGCCACTGCGATGGCTCGATTTCTCCATGCTTCACGGAGTTCACTTCTCTCCTCTTGCAGAACCCTAATGCCTCAGTTTCTACAACATCAATTTTCTTGCCAACCAAACAGACACATACCCAATTTTCTCGCCCAATCCCGGACCCAAATGTCGACTGACACCTCCCAAAAATCACCCTTCGAGTCCAACATCATCAGGATCCTCCGCAACGAGATCCAATACCAGTCTGAATACGCCCCTCCCTGCTTGGTAACCTTCCTCCCTTTTGTTTGGTTCCCGAGAAAGTAGAATGAAAAGAAGAGAAAATTTTAGAAGATTTATGTTTTTGAGGACCCAATGTTTCTTTTTCTGTTTTCCAGTTTTGGGTTTCTAAATGTACTTATAAATTTCGATTCTTTATGTAGCTTTTGTTATTTTGCATAAAAATGAAGGAATTGGAAGATACTAGTCTACAATGGTTCATAGTGAATTGATTTTACATTCCTGGAAAATTGAACTAGCTGAGCCAGTTAAATAGTAAATTGAATATGTTATAGGTACCTGTTTGGTGGGTTAAGAAATGAAAAGAGAAGAAGAAAATTTTGAAAAAAAAAAAATTAAAAACAAAATAAATTGAAATTTGATCTTAGATAATGGGAATTTATGTCTTCACTCCGCTTATCCAAATTGTTTTTATTCAGCTCAGCTAGCTGGAGGTTCTAGTTTTCCTAGGTCTTAGATAATGGGAATTCTTTGTTCATACTTTTCTTTTCCTACGTTTCTTTGAAACCAAACAGAGCTTCTTTGCTTTTCAATATTGATTTCTTTACCTTTTCTTACATTTTCTTTCCTCTGAAGTAGGATGTTAATTGTTTTAGTTCTTATTTGTTTATTGTCCATCTCATTTTGTCAGCAACCAAAAAAGTGAACTCTAAATCCTTACCGTTATTTATTTATTTATTGGTTTTACATTTTATTTAAAATTCTCTAGCCAGCTACGGAATTTCATGCCTTCACAGTGGAAGATCGACCTGGTGAACAGTGGATTACGTTGAGGGGCAAATTTGGAGAGAATGAAACTATAAAAATTGAGGCTACGATGTTTGATGGTTCTGTTATAGTTCCAAAATCCGGTGATGATAGTACTGCAGAAAATGTGTGCCTTCACATAAGCTTGCTAGTTGATATATCAAAGGGAGAAGAATGTGATCTGGAGTTTGTCTGCTCTGCTTGGCCGGATTCTATTGAGATTCAGAAAGTTTACATCTTTAGACGTGATGGTTCTTGGCCTCGGCCTTACATGGGACCTAATTTTAGGTGTGACATCCCTTCCTTCTTCTGACATGGTCATGCACTGTCATAATAAAATCTTTTGTGTTTTTAGTTTATCAATGAATTCACACAATCCTTCTTCCTTTTTTTCTAGAACTAAATCTGTCTTAGTTTGTATTATCTAGTTTATGGCTGTGACAAGCTGAATTTCTCATTTATTTCTTGTTATAATATTTCAGCATAATTTCATGGAATTATTTTATTGTTCATTGGAATGTAAAGCTTTCAATAAATATGTATATATATCTATATTTCTTTCAGCATAGTTGTACTTCAATTTGAGGCCAATTAGGGCTACATGCAAACTAGTATTTTGGAAATAAAATGTTAGATATTAGATCATTGTATTGTTTACTTTGTCTTCTTATGACTTCTTCCTGATCAAGTATTACCTTGTGTGCACTTGTCTGCAATATTGGGGTTGGCCGTGACTGTTTTTGGTTTATGTATTTGGTTGTTTTCAGGGATTTGGATAAGAAGCTTCAAAATGCACTTTTTGATTTCTTGAAGGCAAGGGGGGTAAATGATGACCTTTCTGTATTCTTGCATGAATTTATGATGAACAAGGATAGAAGTGAGCTTATTCAATGGTTGACAAAAGCCAAGTCTTTTGTGGAGAAATAGAGTATTATAGTTACTTTTTGATTTCCTCTGTCATACTAGGTGTTGTGCTTTCAATTGTTGAATTGATTAATGAAATTCTTGCTTTAGAATATTTGTGTTTCTTTTTTGCTCAAGCATGTATCTCCTGTAGCATGTATGGGGTGTAAATTGCGTGGGAATACTCGAGAACATAATGAAGGAGACCCAAATAAAGTACTGTAAGAGTTTTGAGGAAAATTATTCAGTGGTCTGGGACTACCATGTCATCATTGGTCCCAAATGGTTGCATAAGTTTTGAGCACCTTCAACTCATTATGACTCTTGTTACTGAATTGTGTAGTTGTTCCAAATACTTTGTGGCCATATTCTTGAGCTATGAACTCAAATTCTCGGAATTAATAATCTCTTTCCATAGTCTGCACGGTTGTGTCAAAATAAAGACATTTACTCTTGAGACTTTACATGGCTTTCAACATTGTCATTGACTTGAAATGAAGCTCCCTAGAGTTATATCATCTAGTGGATCTAAACCGCTTTTTTCATGTTGATGGAATAAGATGTTGAGTTGGTACTAGAACTTGTTAGGTACAAGTTTATTACTGATTCAAGAGGATGAAAGCCATATTGTACGAGGTACATAAATCTATAAAATTGGCCGACTGCATTATGTAGAAAGTTCCTTTAATATAGCATGGGTAACTCTGGACAGTATGCATGGGCAGGCAAATCCATTATTAGGGGCAGCATTATGCTCATGAAATTATTTATGTTGCTGCTAAAATATATATATTAGTTGGGATGCAACTGAGATACGCCTACACTACTAGTACACTATCTCACATTAGGAAACAATTCTTCCTGGTTAAGTCTCAACATAATTTCTCTCTCTATTTCTCTTTATACATTAAATTTTACAAGGGGCAGCATTATGCTCATGAAATTATTTATGTTGCTGCTAAAATATATATATTAGTTGGGATGCAACTGAGATACGCCTACACTACTAGTACACTATCTCACATTAGGAAACAATTCTTCCTGGTTAAGTCTCAACATAATTTTCCAACATTAAGGTTGCTGAGAGATTTTAGAATGGTAGTCTATTAAAGTTGCGGAGGTTATGGATTCTTTTAGATTTTACCAAAGTAAAACATCCATAGCATGCAATGAATATGGTCATTGTGATATCATCTGCCTCTACCGTCTTGCTTTCTCATCTAAATTTTATTATGGTTTATTGCATTCTGTTTCTTCTAATCATCAAAACACTTTTGTTTTCTACAGATGTTATGCGTTGAGTATAGCTTGTCATACATAATAAAACTCTGCATATCTCGTTTCACAACAGTTTTACCTATTAGATTGCCATTCTGACCCTCTGATTCATAATGGTAATCATGGTACCACCCCAGGAATCATAGGGCAGAGCAACAACGGAATTATGAGCACTGTATTGAGTTCGCACTAATGCCATTTGTCATACAATACTAAGAATGATTGTTCTTAGAGCTCTCTGGCGTTTTTGTCGCCATATGTTAGGATGTTGATTCAACCCTCGTGGATTTTACACATCATTATATCTAGTCTTATCTTATATGCAATCTTTACCCTTTTAATGTAAAGGGAACTGTAGCCTAATGGTGGACCGTAGAGTATCTAACGTCCAACAGTATTTCAGAAAAAAAGAAGATGAAAATGAAGAAGTGGTGTAGATTGGTTCTGCCTAGCCCATTGTTTTGTTTTATTATGCTATTGAGCTGTTGGCCTGTTGCTAGTTGACAAGTTCATATGAATATGTCTATCAGTGTAGCTGGGCCTAACTTGTTTTCGCTCTAAGGCGACCTAGGCTTGTTCACAAGCTTAAATCTCCAGATTCAGACATAATTGGTCTAATGATTATATTCAAAAAAATAAATCCAAAAAAGGAGAAAATGGCATATGAATATAATGTCCAAACAATTTAGCACTTGTACACGTACACAAAACTCAACTTCTTGTGACTGATTAGAAGGTTTGTGTTACAATCACTTCTGCACCATCCTTGCAGCCAGATTTGTGAAGCCGTAATTTTGAGCAAATTAAGTGGAAACAGATGTTGCTCGGTATATTGTTTTCTCTTGATATGTTGTTCATGTTATGTGTACCTATGTGCATATATACATCTATGATTAAATGCATAGTGTATGCAAAGCTACTTAACTAATGCATTTTATTTTTTCATTTAAAAAAAAAAAAAAAAATCTTTTCCTGTCATCAAAATGAACTAGTGCATATTTAGTATGCTAATTTTGTAGGCAGGTAAGTGAAACTGATAGTCATCTCTCAACCACTCGCTCTCTCTGCTATCCATTCTTAAATAGACTGAACCAACTAGCAGTCCTTTTTTTAAAAAAAAATTTAATTTGATTTTTTTTAATAGATTTTTTGCACAGGTATTGTGTTCTTTGTTTACCATGTTGTGATTATCATTCATAGATAAATTACCTGTCTTGCAATTTTTCCTTTACGTCAACTGAGACTGATATGATTATTCCATCATGAGCAATATATATTTGTTCGACGCATTGAATTTCCTTTGAAAGATATGCTTTTTCGGTGTGTTATCGCATTTTTCAGGAAATATTACGAAATCTGAGATTTCTATTACTTATGGGGTCTTCATGTTTACTTTTCTCGTCTTCATGGTCAAGTTCATAGTCCATCAAAACTCATGCACTCAAACAAAAAAAACAAAAAAGAAAAGAAAAAAAGAACACAGTTATTGACCAAAAATACTCTTCTTTCAGGCTCCTAAATTAGTAACAGTTTCAAGTCCCTTTTACATACCTAATTGAGGTAGGGAAGAAAGTCATAATAGTTCTATTATGTGGAGTCTATAAATTATACTTAGAGGATGCCAAGTCAAATTACATGACAAATTATTGTGCAATAAAAAAACCCATTATATCAAAACAATGCTAGGTTTAGATTAATGGCAACCTAAAAAAATAATTCACTAAGAAATTAAGTAAAATGTGTTGAGATTGAGACTGACTGACTATTTGATTAGATTTTAATATACAACCAAATCTTCCTAGATTTAGATATTGCATAATTAATTAAACTCCGTACACTAACCATGAATAAGACAAACATATCCTCTGTTAGTTTAATCTAGAATTATAGAGCATTGTCCATTAAAAATTGAGCACAAGGACGAATTAACAGTTTTTACTTTTATTTAGTGATGTTTTGAAGTGTAACCCAACTCATTAGGTTGGTTTTTATATAATATTTTGATGTTGCCAGGTTCACATTTTCCATGTAATCTTCTTGTTGATAGTGAATTTAGCATTTATTTAATCCGAGGAAGCAACCGACATCTTCCCGTGATTAATTTGAGGTGTCACAATGAGTTAAATGTCTTTTAATTGCAAGATTTTGTTACATTTCTCGATAATAGGGTGCATCTTTAAGACTATAGGGTGAATTTTTGAGACTATAGGGTTATGATAGTAATGTAGATTATTTGATCTAAACACATCGCCTCAAGGGTGTCAATTAGAAGATCTCCTGGGTTTCTTCTTTTTTATATTTTTTGTTTTTTATTTTTTTCCATTCAAAATGATTGCTAGATTCCCTTACAAGTTTGCATTTGGATTTTAAATTTGAAATAAGAGGATTTGACACTAATCATTAATGGGGAATAGCTCAAATTTAGATTTGATAATCTAGATATAGATTTTATTGTTGAACTTGATGTCTTTAACGTGATAGACTTGAAATAAAAATGTAGTAGTTGTTATTTTAAATCCTTCATGCTGAAGTTGTACAAAGATACTAAAAAAAATACTTTTGTTCCCTTTCAGATTCCCAACAAACACTCCTATACTTTTGTAAAATTTGACCTTAAATTTCTTCATTTGAAACCCATCTATCCAAACAGAGTCTAAATTTGTTGTCATTGAAATGATGCAGATTTTTACCCTTTCATTGTGAAGACAGATTTGATTTCTTATGAAGAATTGAACCAAGAATGTGGTGTGAGATCTACTAAAACTATTACCAAGCTGTTGATTAAAGACTGAAAAAGATCAAGAATATGTCTTTAGTTTTTGAGTAGGAAAATTAACTTGGAAAGTAATTGTTACATTAGCAGAAGTTTGTAGCTTTCTAAAAGGTGTCAATTCTCTCTACAATGTTTTCTACTGCATCTCCTCTAGATTTAGAGATGGAAGTACAACAATGACATGAAGTTCCAGCAATACATTTAGATGTAGGCAGATAGACTGACCCAACATAAATGAACAAAAAGTACACACACACATTTTTCGTGACAAAACGATTTCCCTTCTAACAAACCTAGAGGACCGGGAAGCTAGGTCCGAAAGTCTATATGTCCTTGCCATTGCGTTTTAAGGTAAAGGGAGGAAGGCTAGGGCATCCATTTCATAGGTTCCTTGACACGCCGCTTGTCTCTTATTTGTGCTGCTCTTGACATGATCTGTTCTAGCTCTATGTTTGGTCTCATCCAATTTCCTGCTCTTGAAGGTAACAACTAGATGCTTCTGGTCTTATTACAGAAAGAAAGGATGCTTAACACTATACTGGTTTTTTCTTCAAGTGGTTCCAAAATACCTTGAAAGAAGATCTACTCCCAACACCACACACGCACAGCAACGTATATATGAGCTGAATAGTTCCAATTCAAGAACAAAGAAACCAAATTTCATGACACTTTTCTATGATCAATATACAAAAATATTACTCCTAACAAAAAAAAAAAAAAAAAGGATTATAACCAAATCTCAAACTGAGGTAGGAGGAGGATCAAATATATAAATGAGATTCCTTAAAAAAAAAATTACTTAGAGCTTGAGGGACAAGTCAAGCTTTTGCATCTCATCCTGATTAGTCTTCAAGTGACCACCAACACCACCACCTGCCCACCAATAACTGCCACCGATCACCTCATCAGCTGGAGAACCAGTCATCATCCTTACTGTGCCAAATCTCCCAATCCCACCTCGGGACGACGGTTCGGTTGCTGCACTTGCTTGATAATTATCTACTGCTAGCTTCCCTATAGTCGGCTGTTGGTCAATAGGAAGCCTTAACCACCCATTTTGTCCATACATACCCCTAATCCCGGAAGAACTTGGTATGTAAGAAGGTTTATGGATCATTGAATGAACCTGAATTCCAAGAGGGCCTCCGTGGAGAGGAAGACTAGCCATGCTAGGATAATGGTGCAAGTAGGAGTGCCCTAGAGGTGACCCTATTTTAAGCCCTCTTTTTGCAAGAGTCCTCTCTCTCTTGTGGGCATTTTGGTGCCCCCCTAATGCTTGTGAACTAAAGAATTTTCTTTGGCAATAGTTGCAGGAGAAAACTCGAGGCTCAGCATCGGGCATGTGGGGAGCTCCGGATGAAATTTGAGCCGAACCCATGTTCAAACAATCAAGAAGATTGAGCTCTGGATTGCACACATCGTTGGAGTCCTTGCAAGAGAGCTTGAGATCAATCTTTGGATCGGTAATCCTCTCTAATTCTTGATCTTCTTGCTGTTCTCTTTTTTCTTGTGCGTCCTCTTTTGGGTTCTCCATTGAAGTAGCCTCTGGTGTGTTGATGAAGCTTGAAGCCTCAAAAGGACATGGTTTCTTTGTTAGTGGTTCCATTGGATATAATATTTTGTGAGCAGCCTCTATTGTATATGAAATTTGTGATGATAGCAGGTGATAAAATATTTGTTGATGGAAGTAAATGATTTATGCTATGTAGGGAAGGATACTATTTTACAACATAATATTTGAGAGAGAGAGAAAGAGAGAGAGAGAGAGAGGTAGGTATTCAATCGGATTGGAGCTCCACTATATATAACTATATCTAATCAACTAGTCTGATTGTGTATGTAGTATATAAAAATCAATCTCATTGTATAGTGTTTGATCCTTTTTTTTTTTTTTTTTTTTAAATTTGTTCGGTTTGGAAGTTTCTTAGAATGAATGAATGTATGTCGTTTTAAATATGTGGCTCACACCATAACCACAGAAGCTGTTGAAGAAGAAGGTGAAGATGCTTTTTAGTACTAGAGAGGTGCTTTATTGGGTAACAAAAATGGTGGATGATTGATGACATCCTAATACAATGTGCAGTTTTGGGCATTTTAAGAAGAGTAATAAGGTGGGGGACAAACCATACTTGTTATGTGGACTCAACAGTTTGTTTTTGTTTTTGTTTTTGTTTTTGTTTTTGTTTTTTTTTTTTTTTTTTTTTTTGTGTGATGTTGTTGTACTTTAAGTCTATCTGTTTGGTGCACCATGTTCCCTACTACTTTGGAGGGCTTTCCTCTGGACCTTTTGTGGAGGCATCACTTCTTTTTATTTATTCTCTTATTATTATTAGTAGTAGTCGTCCTCTTTTTTTAGTAGAATGAGGGAGAATTTTAGATAAATGATAAAGGAATTTTTTTTATAAATTGATGGAGGTAGAAGTGCAAATAAGAATCATACCTAAGGCACAACTGATGAGAAATTCTATTTCCACGCGTCATTTACTCTCTATCAACCCACTTAATGAATTTTTTTTACTATATTTTTGTCTTAAAATGAAACTACTAAAATACTCCTTTCTCCTTTTATCAAAACCCTAACCCTCAATGAAAACCCTAGCCACTACCTACTACTAGTAGCCATCGACGACCACCCACCACCTCTAAACCCTAATCCTAAATATGGTAATATCTTCATCCCGTCGCCGCCTCACCATCACACCACCCTCACGCAATCTTCTCCACCATCGTAGGCGTCGTGGAACCTAGATCTGGAAAAAAGACCAATTTTCTTACCATTCGGATTACCAGTATCGAAAGAATCGCTTCCATTCGGAAATTAACCATCGAACCAATGAATTTGGTTCAATCATCAACATTCGAACAAAACATGTTGGTTCGACCTTCAACATCTGAACACATTGGTTCGATAGTGTACCTTTGAACCTTACATATTAGTTCGATACTATACTTCCAAACAAAACAGAAAAATGTATGTATTAATTTTTTGCAAGAAACAAAAAAAAACCAGTGACGAATTTCAAAATGGAGGTCTTCTATGGAGGTCCTTCAATGGAAGTTTACTGGAATTTCAAAATTTGAAACACAATTTCAATGGAGGTTTAAATTTGGTGTGTACGTTGGGTGAGTTTGTAGGTGGGGATGGCGACTAGAAATGAAAGGGAGGTGATAACAGTGGTGTTGCGTTGTCGTTGATGAGGTGATTGCTGGTTAGGATTAGAGTTTGGAAGATAAAGAAGATATGAGTGAGCACACATTTTTTATTAAATGAATATATTTGGAATATGAAGTGTGTGGATTGAGATAAATATCTAAAACTCAAATTTCTAAGTGAGTGGAGTGAGAAATGATGTGCATAAAGACAATGTGGTGTGTGAAAATAAAATTCCCCCACGACTGACACTTGCAAAAGGTATAGTTCTCATTTATGTTTCATGAATGTGTAATTACTTTTTTGTTGTTTGTCATTTATTTGAAATTCTCTATTATTATTATCATTATTAGGGAGAATTATTTAAAAATGGAAAATGAGGCAATTATTGACAAAATAGTGGGTAGCAAAAAATAATTGCAAACTGGTGGTGTCTATCATTGAAATTACCAAAATGTCCTCTCTATCTTTTTATCTGTGTCCTTTTTTTTTTTTTTTTTTTTTTTTTTTTTTTTGGATCAATATCTCTTTTTCTGTTTCCAGCAAGGGAAAAATGTAAAATGTTCCAAGATTTTGTAATTTTTTTTTCCCTAATTGACAAAAGTTCCCATTTTTTTTGGGGTGTGTAAATATTTACCCTAATTCTCATTTTATTGGCAATTCTCTCCTTATTAATAAATTATTAATAGATCTTAATAGTTAGACTTAATTCTTATCAAGTCTTATTGAAAATAAGTATTGGTAAAATTGTCGCTAAAAATAATTTTTTTATGACAATTTTTTATGTTGCTAAAAATTGACAATTAGTGATTTTTTTTTGTCATGATTTTTATAAATTATCGTTAAAACTTACAATTACTGAAATTTTTTTATGACAATTTTTTCTCATAGAACCTATTAGATAATAAGTTCATTTATTAGGACTTACACGTAAATATCCGTTATTATTATTATTATGTTCTTTAGACTCAAACTAAGTACTAACTTACATAGACTCAAATCTTATATTGAAATAGTCAACAAAAGGGAAAAAAAAAGAATAATGCTTGGGACCCCCTTTTGGGGGTCACCCCCTCACCCCCCCTTTGCCACGTGGCGGATGGCGATTGGAGGAGCAGGAAAAAAAAAGAAAATGAAAAAGAAAAAGAAAAGGTAACCAATGAGAGAGAGAGGGGGTCAAAGGGGGTGGGGGAAAAGGGGGATGAATCATTGTTGAAAAAAAAAATATAAAATCAAGGGTTTACATATTTCCTCACAAAACAATTCCATTTTTAGAGCCAAGTCCAAACAGAGCCTTGGAGAAATTTGCACGTTTGTGTACCCCTCCCTAATGCTTCGCTTACCTAATTGATGTAAACATATATTTCAAGTCTTTGTTAAGAATGCCACCTAAATTTAGCTACTCGTACACTGTCATGCTCTAATTTTTATTATTAGATGGAAAACAATATACTTTAACATCATTTTCACACGTGAATTGTTCTCAGAACAGAGATCTTAAAAAATCTTTTGATGAACTTTTTTAAGTTGTATTTGATTCATTGATTTGTGTAAGAATTTGTCTAGGAAAAAGAAAAGAAAATGACATAAAGATGACGAGAAAAAAAAAAAAAATCAATCCAGTATTTCTTTCATTTTCTTTTTGCCTAATAATTCCAAAATCCAAACATGCTATAAGGTTGCATTTGTTATCTTTTTCCTTAATTTTTTTTTTAAAATAAAATAGATGAACAAATACTCACAAATGTAAGCTTCTTCTAATGCATTTTACTATTTACTTAGGTTTATCTTTATTATCAAAATGTAAATCAAATTGAGAAGAAAGATTAGGGACATAATTTTCTACTGCATAATCTACACCCTACTCATAATGGTGGTGAGTAGAAAATAGTGTATTGGTAGCCAGACTCAAATCAAATTAGAAGTTTCAAACATGAGTTTTATTCACTTTGTTTGGTTTTGATTTCCAGAATTTATCTTTTAGAAAATTTTATTTTTTGTTTTCACTGAATTTTTTTAATATTTTAAGCAATTTTTTAAATTTGTACACACTTAACATAAATACACTTAAAAAGTATATTATTTGTGAAAAAATCTTCAAAAAAATTCACTAAATACCAAAAATATATTTAAAAAAATTACGAAAATTTAGTATATTTTTCATATTTGTGTATTTATTAATTTTTTAAAATATTTTTTCACAAATATTTTACTTTTTAGATACATCTAAGTAATGTGCATTTAAAAAACTAAAAAAAAATTGCTTAAAATTTTAAAAATATTCACTAAATACAAAAAAACACAAAATAAAAAACTCAATTTTTAGAAAATTGAAACCAGACACATTGATTGTATTCTTGTAACTATTTGTTAAATTTTCTTTCATAATTGAATATCCTGTGAAATCCGTTTATAGATAAATACACTGATATCCTATTAAGTTTCGAGAAAATATAACAAACCCAATAATTTTGACAAAGTTACGCCGATTTCCCTTTTAGTAAAGCTAAAGGGACTGAAACTATGTAGATACTGTGAAGTTACAAAAACAAACAAGGAAAAACGTACATTTAAGTGTAAAATAAATGATATTATTTTTTCATTCATATGACTAATGAATTATTAATGAAAAAGTGTCAAGTGTCATGTGAATTAAAATCGAAAAATAGTCAAAGGTAATTACCCCAAACTTGTAAAGCTTAATGCATTTTCTTCAAATTCCAATAGAGGTCAATGTAATTACCCTTAATTTATTTCTTGAAGACTAACAACAAAAAAAAATAATAATAATAAATTCAAATAAACTTATTTGTATTTAGTCAAACTTTGAGCTTGTTTTGCACATGCAAGTAATTATATGCCAAAGTAAACTTCAGTTTTCTACCTAAGTGAGTACATTAGAGGTATAATTAGTCATATAATGTCGAATGGCGACAAATGGCCGACAAGTATTGGAGGAAGCTGATGTGGATAGTAGTTTAATAATGCTATCCAAAACTATACAATTAGTCTATCATCATCAAATCTACAAAGTAAACCCTTTGAGATGGGTATAATCTTAGCTTTCATTAATCTAATGATTTTTACAAACTAGTGTCACTTTAGCCAAACTTGTTTCTCGAAATTGAACCCCACATAAAAGAGATGTTGAAAGAGAAATGATCATCATGAGTATTTGTTTGGCATGTCAATTTTCATTGGCTAATGTAATGAGCACACTCCATATGATTCCATCTTCCATTTTCTATATTGTCTAATCAAATTGGATCAAAATCTCTTTATTAGATCTCTCTGTCTCTCCGAACAAGGCCCATTTTGAGAGAAAAATAGAGGAAAAAAAATATCCTATCACTTCCCCACTCAATAATAATAATAATAATAATAATTAGAACAACAAATGAAATTGAAAATAAAAAGTATACCCCATCTATTCTATAGAGATGAGTTTGAATTGATTAATGTCGAATCAAAAAGCCACTTGAACCCCCACAATTTCTAAGGTTGATTTACCTTTTTACCAAAAATTCAATTGCTGTATGTAATAAGATTTTTCAAACCATGGAGTAAATGATTTGATCAATGAATTAAATATTTTTTTAAACCCATAATTTACTTTTTTCCAAATATATAAAGTTCTTTTTGCCCAATATTAATAAAGTTCTTTTTGCCCAATATTTAAAATTTAAAAAAAAAAATAATTTATATGATTTCACTTGAATACACATGAATGACTTCTTCACCTACCCCAAACTGTAAAACCCTAACCCCATACCCCTCAAAGGAGAAAAAAATGATTATGCCCTCCAATGGATATGACCAATTGATTGGCCTTATGTTTTTGTAATACTAGGGCATGGCATGTTCTTCTGTCCTTTGAAACTACTTTTTGTACTCAACAATGTAATGATGCAGAAAAGACCTGTGCTAGCTCGTCCCCCCATAAACTGTTTTTGAAATATTCTTACCCCCCAAATGAGCTACCTTTCATCTCACATATTAAGGTGCAAGAAATTTACTTTCATCATTTTTGTGTTTTTCAGGGTACATAACTTCATTCATATAGGAAGAGTACAACACAGTTTCAAAGAGCAAACATATTTAAAACCTACCAAGACTAGAATAAAAAATATTCAGATCTTAATGCCAGAGCATCTATATACCTGGGAACAAGACATACAGTAGACAAAAAATTTCCATCTTACAAGCTCTTCACAACTTTGTATCAAGGGAACTGCTCACCAACTTCCCATAGTCATACGTGGTAGAAAAATTAATTTCCGTGAGTTGACCTGCATCGTTAAAACAAGGAAAAATTTCATTATACCTGCACCATCCTGCAGCCCAACAATTCTAAGACTTCACCGTAATCTCTCTAACTAGTAATACTCTACACTTACAATTCCATGGCACAAACTCCACACTACCAAATGCAGCCTAAAAGAATTCTCCTTGAGCAACCATATAATTGCTTTTTTGATCTTGTAGCATGTTGATGTGAACATCAACAAATCAACCTTTTAGTTCCCACAAAGTAACCAACACAATAACTACCTAGTAATCATGTCTTCAACAAAAGACCACAACTTGGTTCAGTAGTTTCATATTAAATTTGCCACCTAAGTAATCTCAAGTCTCACACGTTAAGCCATGTTCTGTCACTCCTTTTCCTCAGGCATATGAAATACACACAATTCTCATAAAGTGGTTGGTATAATGCCAGGCATTTAGGAAACGAGAAAAGAACGGATCACAAAGTTTGGGTGACACTGATTTTTAACTGTTATCATTTACCACCCATCTATTTATGACCAGATTTGTCCTGAACCAACAGGCTGTATAACACGGTCTCATATAATGTTTGATCCAGATACCCCGGTGCTAATCAAAAAAATATCTACATATATAATGTGATACATATAATTTATAAAGAATACCAAAATTTATTGACAAACCAACAAGGTATTTACAAACAATATAACGGAAGAAAGTCGCTTCATGAGACTCGATAACATTACCTATTTGGTCAACCAATAAATCAAAATGAGAAATGTGCAGACAGAAGCAACTAAGGAAAGGATGATAGTATCCATAGACTTTTTCTTCTTTATTGCTGAGAGGATATGATTCACCTGCAATTTTTAAGTACCCAAGTATCAATACATTTGATAGAACTAACTACACAGTCAAGTTATCATATCTCTTGGCACATAATCATATTTGGTACTCAAAACTCCAATCCCATTGTGTCCATAGCATTTTCAATGATTCTTGTCTAAAAAGCAATTCTAAGGGTCCCATGTACAACAGTAAAATTTACTTTGATATGTTGACTTCTTTACAAGGCACCTCATACGCTCAATTCTATAGAAACCAGAATGGTATGGCGAGTCTTCGCTGTGATTTCTAAACACCCATTCAATCATTAGCAAGACACTAGAAAATATAAGAACGCAACCATACCGTTGGAAGTCGGCTGCTGACATTGCTAAGCTTCAAATCAATGCCTCCAAATGTTGATCTTTGAAAAACAAGAGTCCTAAGGGTCTCTTGTGCTTGAGAAATCACGGAATCCATCTGCCACAAAATCAGTGAACAAAAATATGCACATGCTCAAAATAGGGAAAAATAATTATCAAGGAGCTGACAAACGAAGGGATTAGAAACAAATTTTGTCTAAGTGAACAAAGAACCTATAACATTTCTTCACCTCTAATCCACATTCCTTGCTTAGGCTTTTAAAAATATCACGGACCTCCCTGCAGGTAGTGGCATTATGTTGTAGCTTAGATTTAGATCATATGTTTATTTTGTTTATTTACTTGGACAATTAGAATAGTTTAGTGTAGTTTTTTTTTAAAAAAAATTGCCATTAATATGTATTTTGAGCCTTGATGCGGGGGTTGTCCACATCAATTTCAGTGGTAACATGGCTACACAAGTGACATCAATTATGACTACACAAGTGACATGACAAGTGGACCTATCATGTCACCTAAGCATGGGGATGCTTAGGTGGATAGATTGGAGTCCTATCCTAAAACACTGAGACTTGGGGAGGATTCTTTTTGTCCTATGTTACATGAACTCACGTACGAGTATTGGGTGTAAGTATTGGTCCAAGTGTCCAATTCATCTAATCTCATGTCCACAGAGATGGGAACATATTTCTTAATAAACTCTCTTTTTTTCTAGGGTAAAATAGTTTTCACAAGGTTCCGTAAAGTATTCCATGCATAATGTGGGGGTTTTACGCATAATTTAATGGTTTAACTCAAATTATTAAATATACTTACTAGGTGAATGTTCAACTACACATGTTAGACACATATCACATACCCTTACTCAATTATCGAGTCTCTGACACAAATACTTGTCCTTCATACATATCTCATCTCTCATATCATCTTTCCTTGTCCTTTGTCTTCACCCTGCTTTCTGGTGATTGTTGGTTCAAAGATTTCCGGTATCACAGATGTGCATTCCTTGTTTGAGATGACTCTTGCTGTATTGATCGGTAAGTTAACCCTACTTGTCTGTCCTTCGCCCATCACATACTTTAGCCTTCGCATTCTCCTTTTCCTTTAATATCATTCGCTTAAGGGTAAATCATCACATTCAGTTCATGCTATCCGTCCAGATCAGTTTCCTATATTTTAAACCATTAGTTTTTCAAGTTCTAGACCTCCAGACCAGACTTTGTTTTCCCTTGCTCACATCCAGTAACTGAGTACCCTTGTCAAGTTTTACAGCATCTGGTGGATTACTGAAATTATCTCAAACTTTGTGGCAGAGTTTAGTTCACTAGTAGATTAATGAGTATATTGACATTGATGGAATTGAAAATCTGTTTGCCAATTGTTTGGGATATTTCACATGAGGCTCACCAAGGCTTGTGAAACCCTAGGACTGCATTACATTAGCATTATTTAACTTCACTAAAGTTAACTGGTTTAGTTTGCAAAGTATTTGGATAATCTGAACACTTCACACACTCGTGGGGGGGTAATTTTAAAGCCAAGAAACTAAAAATATCTTCACTAAAAACAATATGACTCTTGTTCAAGTATCATATGAGAGGGGGCTATCAGAACTCTAATGATCCATCTCTCTGTAAGGATAAAACCAGGTTGTGGATAATCAAAATAACAAGTCCACTGATGTACAATCCTTCATTCATTACTTCAGCAAGAAGAGTATTAGGCCTATTGGCTAAATTACACATGGTGTGAAATCTTAAATACTGTACTCTGCTAATCTATTTAAGACAAAAAAAAATGGAATCTGTCAAGTAGAAAATGACAAATAAATCTTTCTTCCAGGTACCTGCCCTGTACTTCTGCTGACGGATGCATGCTCCTTAAGGAGAGCCTGTTCATAAGATCCACCACCATCTTCCAGATCTAGTCTTGTCCTATCAAACTCCCTGAAATCCTCGAGTAGTGAAGCATGCTCTTTCTTAGCTCGAAGACTAGAGCGGAGCCGATTAAATTCCTGCAATTAAATTGTGTTAGGTACAGCAGCAGCAGCAGGCAAAATCTTCTTAGCCAATAGACGTTGGTAGAATTGCTACATCAAAGGAACACTATCGTCCATCGGTATCACAAAATCATGACACATTGAACTTCATGATGAAAAATAATTATATACAAAAAACCATTTTAATAATTATCCATTTTCATCTATTTATATACAAAAATAAATAAAATAATTAATATAGTTTTCATCAAATTGTTGGGCTAATTTATCAAATTGTTGAGCTAATTTATTGATCATCTTAAATGTTCAAGTACTGTATTCTAGGTAGTACAATATTTTTTCACTTTTTGGTGCCTGCATCTAAGATCCCCTAACATGATCAGTAAAATTATGTCGTTGTTTTCTACGACTCCAATTATGTTTTCTTAAAAAGTAGAAGGCAACAAATACCTGAGTAAGGTCTTGAAGAATTTCTTGATGACGAGTCAATGTATGAGAAAATATTTCTGAGCCTCCTGATGACACCCAAGCTTGCATATGTGAATTTACTTGCTGAAGTTGTTGGAGCAGTTTATCTATCCCTGATTCAAGATCTTTATCTATACCATCATCAGCTTTTGTGGAAACTAATTTACGATACAAATGCATCTGTTCGTCCAACTGTGCCTCAAGCTTCCTTGCCTACATGCATATGATTCCAGATATGATGATGATTACTTCAAAACCAAGAAAACAAAAGAACAACGAACTTAGTAACCATGATTCTGATAACGCAATGGCAATTTTGATGCTAAAAGAAAGAATGGTAATCACTTGGATTTAGACTGAAAAGAGGGAAGATGGTCAATATCATGTTCATGGCATTGATCAAGAGGGTTTTTCGTGAAGAGTAGCAGTGCTCCACAACCTCAACTGAAGGGCAATACTATACATCACAATTATCCATCTCAATTCCGTGTCAAAAGATGTGACTCTTTATTCTTCTCTTTCATCACCAAACAAAATGACTCCCACTCCTATTTTCCACACTACCTCTGCCATACCATTTAGACAAGCATCCAAATCAGGAGCTCAACACTTTTGTCAAAGGAAACGTGTTGGTTATGTTAATACTAAACCAATATATATATGATATATCTATCCTTGTGGCCTTTGTGAGTAGTCACATGGGGTAATGCAAAGTTTAAAAAAATATATAATAAAAAAAAGAAGAGTAAAGCAAAGCACTTAATGTAATGTTGCCAGTGCGAGAAAAATAATAAAAAAAAAGAAAAAGACAATGAAAATAACTTATGTGACGAGGTAAATCAAAGTGATAAGGTAACAACAAAGTAGAAGAGTGGCAGATATGTGATGAAAGGAGAGAAAAGAACGAACAAAATATCGATATTGTCAATAATCAATATTTAGTTCTTCCCTTCTCTCTATTTATCATATTTCTGACACCTTATTTTTTACTTTGTTGTTCCTTATCTCCCCGGCTTTCTTACTTCTTCACGTAAATTCATCACCTCATCTTTTTATTTTCACTTCTTTTTTTTTATTCTTTTTTTTTTCTCATATTGAGAGCTTAAATTGTATTTTTTTTTACTCCCCGTCATTACCCAACATGACTACTCATATAAACGCCCACAAGTTACAAATATTGATTTTAGTATTAAAACAACCAACATTGTATTTAGGGATAACACTGCCCTCCTTTTTTGAAACATCAAATTCACAATGACCTCTTTAGGCACAGAGGCGAATCCGAATTCACATATCACTATCAAAAGCAACATCACAAACCTAGAGTTGATAATAATACCTACCACTTACAAAACTCAGGTAGTCCCCAACAAAAAAACCTTAATTTACAAACGCATTAATCATAAAATTCCAAACTTTTTACAAAACCCTAATCCTAATCTAGATAATTCCTGCAAATCACAACATAGGCAATGCAAAAAAACCAAAAAAAAAAAAAAATTCAAATTCCTCAAGTCGGAGCCAACATAACCATAAATATAGATATATATATATATATAGAGAGAGAGAGAGAGAGAGATGGATAGGGAGAGCAAAATTGGGACTTGTTCGATGAAATAAAATCTAAATTCATCACACAGTAGATATATACAGAAACATAAACGTCTAATGAGAAATAATTTGGAGGTACCTGTCTTCGAAGGGAGTCCCAAGAAGCAGGAGGATCCATGTTTAGAGAGAGAGAGAGAGAGAGAGACTGGGTGTCTTCTTCTTCTAATGAATGGGTTTGAATTTGCAGAGACCAAACGAGATCGATCGATCGATCAGGGAGTTTTGAAGGAATCTGAGAGAGCGACCTTTTCTCGTTTGGTGTGTGAGAGAAAAAGAGAGAGAGAGAGAGAGAGTCTTGAAATTGAAGTTAAAAGGATTTAATTGCTGTTTGCTGTCAAAAACGGGTTTGTTAGGGTGTCACCGTTACTGTTGGGAATTTGACACTTGGGTTGGGTTGGGTTGGGTGGGTCCACCTGCAAGCCCAACCAACCCAGTGGTTCCATTGGGCTGGGTTTGCTATGAGTTTAGGCTGGGCTAACCTCCGTCAGAAATTATTTAAATTAGATCTCAATTTTGGGTTTCAGTTTGGGCTTACGCCTTACTCATATACTATTTTTTTTTTTTCATATCTTTTTATAGAAAGTCAAAAAATATACTTATTTAGATCATTCCAAACACTCTTCTATATTTTTTCAAAAAAATTAAAAAAATTTAATTTCCAAACACCCCTTAAGCCTTGCCATATTTTTTATCATTAGACACAAATCTTGTTTGGTTTTCAAATTTTGGTTTTTTATTTTTTGATTAAAAAAAAAACTCGTTATTTTTCTATGATTTTATTTTTGAAAAATAATTCATCTTTTTAATTTTGCCTCCCCAATTCTACGCCTAATGATATGAAATTAGAGGGAACTAAAGATGAGAAATCGAGTGTGATACCACTTCACATGGGTTTTAACCACATCATTGAGGGTCCGTTTGTTTTCAAAGGTAGAATTGAGATAATTCATAGTGAGGAGATTAAGTAAAATTGTGTTTGTTTTTATGATAGTTGTTGGTATAAGGATTGTTAAATTATTTTTAAATAAAATAATAAAACAAATAAAAAATACAAAAAAATTAAACATTGATGTTCAAAAAAAAATGGCCAACATGTAAAAAATAAAAAATAAAATAAATAAAGCTATGATTTTTACTTAACAAAAAATATAAAAAAATTAAACATTAATATTCAAAAAAAATGCCCAACATGTAAAAAATAAAAAATAAATAAAAAATAATCCGACGGACTATTTTCTAATACCAAGTCCTAAGCCTTCATCCTAATCCCCTCCCTAAGGCCCATTTTAATCCGGAGGGGATTATGAATCCTCTTTTTATCTCCCAAAATAAACACAATATTAGTAAGTTTCACCTCAATCTCAATCCTAATCCTTCCTCTATCTTCAAAAATAAACGGGCCTGATAGTAGAATTGGAAAGCAAAATTAAGAGATATAACATTATTCTTTCGATTTTTTTGAAACACAACAAATATTAAAAAAACAAATTCATTTATTAATGCGAGTGCTACCAAAAATTTCAACTACGAGGTCCAACCATCCAAGGGTTTCATCTACCAAAGCTGTAAAATTTATAGCAAAACAAAATGTGTATCATAGTTTGGCTATTCTCTTTATCTTTTTCCTCTTTTTATTTATACCAAAAATAAAATATCTCTAAACCTCCTTATTTTATGTTTTAAATCCTCAACCATAATTAATTTATTTATCCCAATCCCATCTTTATTCAACTACTATTATGTCACTAATTTCAATGCTAATTTTTATTTAGAAAAATGACAAAAGTCTACCTTGATCGCTAATTTAACCTCTTTTTTTATGGTATTTTTAAAAAATGGGAGCTTTTTTCATAAATTCATCTTTAATTACTTATGTTCCATCCAATTCATATTTTTTTTGGCTATTCCATTAGGTCCTATTTGAGATAAGAAGACCAAAATACCATTTTCATCTACTTATGTTCTATTTAGTTCATATTATTTTCTTATGTTTCAATAAGTCCTATGGGTGACATAATTACCAAAATACCCCTAATGTGAATGTTCACACCGTCAATGTGAATGTTCATATCGTCAATGTTTAGGGGCCCGGCCCATGTACAATGTGAATATTCACATTAACATGTTAACATTCACATTGATAGGAGTGTAAAATTAGCCCGCGACCTGTGGGCGGCCAAGGGCGAGCCCGGTCCAGCCTGTGACAATGTGAATATTCACATTGACATATTAACATTTACATTGATAGGACTGTAAAATTGGCCCGCGGCCTGTGGGCGGGCCCGGCCCGTTGATAAATATGAATATTCACATTAACATATTAACATTCACATTGATAAGAGTGTAAAATTGACTCGCATCCCATGGGTGGCCCGAAGCCCGTGGGCGGCTCGGGGCGAGCCCGGCCCGGCCCGTGACAATGTGAATATTCACATTGACATTTTAACATTCACATTAATAGAAGTGTAAAATTGGCCCGCGGCCTGTGGGCGGCCCGAAGCTCGCCTGCTACCCGAGGCGGGCCCTGCCCAACCCGTGACAATGTGAATATTCACATTGACATATTAACATTCACATTGATAGGAGTATAAAATTGGCCCACGGCCCGAAGACGACAGTCTCGAGTCGGGCCGTTGGGCTTAGGCCAGGCTTGGGCAGGCCTGGTCATTTTTTTTAATTCTTTTTAATTTTTTCTACCAAAATTTTATTATTTTCCACAAAAAAAAACATTGTGCCTCAGGCGGGCTGGACCTCGGACTGAGCCTTGAATGGGATTTAAGCGGGCCGATGGGTCGGGCCGGGCTTCAAAGTGATGGCCTAGGCCCTAGCCTAGGGTCTCGGACATGCTCAGGCCCGGACCCAAACGAGCCTGCCCCAGGCCGTGGGCGGGCTTCGAGCAGCCCACAGGCGGCGGGCCAATTCTACATTCCTATCAATGTGCATGTTAACATGTCAATGTGAATATTCACATTGTCAACGGGCCGGGCCGGGCCTACCCTGGGCTGCGGGCGAGCTTCGGGCAGCGGGCAAATTTTACACTCCTATTAATGTTAATGTTAACATGTCAATGTGAATATTCACATTGTCACGGGTCGAGCCAAGCCCACTTCGGGCTGCGGTCAGGTTTCGGGCCGCCCACGGGCTGCGGGCTAATTTTACACTCTTATCAATATGAATGTTAACATGTCAATGTGAATATTCACATTGTCAATGGGCCGCCACGGGCTGCGGGTGGGCTTTTGGCCGCCCATGGCCGCGAGCCAATTTTTTACTCTTATCAATGTGAATGTTAATATGTCAATGTGAATATTCACATTGTCAATAGGCCCGCCCCGGGCCGCCCACGAGCAGTGGGTGAGTTTCGGGTAGCCATAGAGCACGAGCCAATTTTATACTCTTATCAATGTGAATGTTAACATGTCAATGTGAATATTCACATTGTTAACAAGCTGGACCGGGCCCGCCCCGGGCTGCCTACGGACCGTGGGCGGGTTTTGGGCAGCCACGGGGCGCGGGCCAATTTTATACTCTTATTAATGTGAATACTAACATGTCAATGTGAATATTCACATTGTCAATGGGTCGGGCCCGTCCCGGGCCGCCCACGGGCCGTGGGCGGGTTTCGAACAGCCACAGGGCGCGGGTTAATTTTATACTCCTATCAATGTGAATGTTAACATGTCAATGTGAATATTCATATTGTCAACGGGCCGGGCCCGCTCCGGGCCGCGGGCGGACTTTTGGCCGCCCATGGGACGCTGGCCAATTTTATACTCTTATTAATGTAAATGTTAACATGTCAATGTGAATATTCATATTGTCAACGGGCCGGGCCCGCTCCGGGCCGCGGGCGGGCTTTTGGCCGCCCATGGGACGCTGGCCAATTTTATACTCTTATTAATGTAAATGTTAACATGTCAATGTGAATATTCATATTGTCAACGGGCCGGGCCAGGATGTGAATATTCACATTGTCAACGGGCCGGCCCGGGCCCGCCCCAGGCCGCCCATGGGCTGCAGGCGGGTTTCGCACCGCCACGGGACGCGAATCAATTTTACACTCCTATTAATGTGAATGTTAACATGTCAATGTGAATATTCACATTGTCAACAGGCCGGGCCCGTCCCGGCTCGCAAACGGGTTTCAGGCCGACACGGGCCAATTTTACATTCCTACCAATGTGGATTTAAAAATATGAATATTCATATCATAAAATTGGTAACCGTTCAAAAAATATTTATAAGGATATCAAAATTAAATATAAGGGCATAAGTGTCCAAGAAAATAGTGCAAATCAAGAAAAAAGACTTTATGGAATAAAATTATACATACATGGGACTAAATGGGTTAAAAAATTGCTTCATGAACTTCTTAGGTTAAAACACTTCTAAATGGGATTTATCAATAATTTTCCCTTAAAAAATTGACATAACTTACTCTATTTTGTTCATAAATCTTATTTTAATGGAATCTAATAAGAGAATTGTTTTTGCCCTCTTGACAAGATTTTAATAGATTGTAATGTATAGTTTGGGGGTGTTTTAAATAAGTATATTTTTAATTTTTTATAAAAAAATTGTATAGAATATTAGAGAAAGTGAGTAACAAAATAAAAAATATATATATTAAAAAATATTGATTAATGTAATCTAAATAAATATATATATGTAAAGAGAAAATACACTTTTTTAATGCATGGCAAACCCGTAATAACTAGCAAAACACCCAAATATCCTTTTTTTTTTTTTTTTTTTTTTTTGTTACAGGAAAATCCTCCCTACTCTCCTACAGGTCCAAGGCAGCGCCCCTTTGTAGATATCACCAAGGTGTCCTGTTAGCCGTTCCGAGTGAGGAGACTATAACCTGAGAACTTGCCCGACCTCCCACGACAAGGTCCGCTTAAGTCAACACTCGCATAGCAGGGGTTCCAAGTGAGGAGACTATAACCTGGGAACTTGCCCCGACCTCCCAAGACAAGCTCCGCTTAAGTCAAGACTCACACAGCAGGGGATATTGAACCCACACCAAGTGCTGGTTAGACAACTTGAGGTCCAACCTCCTAACCAACTGTGCTACGCTTAGGAGATTGGCCTAGGAGAAATTTAAACTCATGACTTGGGAGTTTAATCCCCATGTTCTTACCACAAGGCCACCCATCATTGGGTTACCAAATATCCTTTTACAAACCCAAATATCCTTTTACAATTTAGGCCTCGTTTGGGAACAGGTTAATTTAGTAACTTTTTGGCTATTTGGTTAAAATATGAGCTAAAAAAAACTAGTATGTTTATGATTATTTTTTAGCTTT